TTCTATTTCCCAGTGTTAAGAGGTAAATGGGATCTGCGCTTCCTGGAAACCTAAAGAAAAGTGGAAAGAAATCACTTACAAAATTCAGTCTTCAATGGGTATTCACTTTAGAAAGGGGCCAGGCCTAGGCCAGGATGAGGCGCATGCTATACCTGAGACCAATTAAGCAGCATCCCTGGCTGAGGGGCTCAGGGGTCAGTATGTGACACCAAATGATCCTTATATATAGCCAAGATGGAAAAGCAGTGACTGTGAATATTAAGTCCCTCATGGAACAGCATTTGTGTGGATTTCTACAAAAATCCAAGAGTCAGGTATATGTGTTGGCTTGTCTTCATCATCTGCCTTGTGGGATCAAACAGCACAGTGTGAAAACAGATGTGTTTCTGGATCTTCCAGCTTAGCTTCTTTTTAAAAAAATTTTTCCATAATTTTATTGAGACACAAATAGCAATGAGACAGTTTCAAACCAAATTGGTAGAACAGTTTCAATAATTAGCACATTGCATACATTCTTCCTAGTGGTTAATTGCTGTACAAGATGCGGACTTGATATCCTATTTACATACACTATTAGAACAAGTCCCTCTATTCATTAAGAGAATGTAACTATATATCTATCCTAACCACTTTGAATACACAGATACTAAGTGGACATTCATCTGTATCCCCTTTTTTGTTAAGTTCCATCATTTAAGTATTATAGGTGTGTAAACTCAGCAAAATATTCTAAAAGAGTTCAGTAGTCCATAATAGTATTGGGTCTTCTGCTTCACTGGCAATGTCAGCAATTGTTGACCTGAGTCCCCTACAGCTCAACATAACAGCATGGCTTTACTTATTATATTTCGTTTTTATACTTTTCTTCTGGATAGTTAAGACCAAGGTAAAGCAGGACCTATGCAAGAAGAGTTGCAGCTTTTGGGTCTGATAAGGTCAGTGAAATCCCCTCAGGATTTATCCTGAGATCCTGTACCTAAGATTGTAGATCCTTTGTCAGTGTCAGCCATGTGGATGAGTCACGGCCATTGCTCGGCCAGTGTGCTCTCTGTGAAAGCCTGAGAGAATGTTTTCTCTTCATGTGACTCTCCTTAGGCACACTCTAAATCATCCAGCTTAGCTTCTGACATTTTCCCTGGAATGGGTTTGAGGGAGCAGGGAAGAGGTCTTGCGGTGGAAACTTCAAGATGAATGGGGCATTTCTCACATGACTGAAATGTTGAGTGGAGTGATAAGTAAGCTGATAGTTGTAGAGAAGAAGATGATCTCAGGAAGAAAGCTTCAGTGACCTGGGAGCCAGGGGCAGGCTAACTCAGAACCAACCATCGCTGCTCATCCTGCGTGCCTTCTGAAGATCTGGAGAAATCAGAAACAGGTTTCCCTTCTTTCCACCTGTTTATAATTCACATGATTATGAGAGGCAGGTGGTGATGCAACCCTTCCTGATGATTGGTCATTTGTCAAGCATTCAGAGAAAACAGCACTTAAAGAAAGGCTGACTGACCTGCCTTTTCACTATCTCACTCAGGGTATCTAGGGAATGAAAATTGGCCTCAAGGAAGTCATCAAATTATAGAGTTTTGGAAATTCACAGTAAGTTTTTATTTTTTAATTGCATGAACACTTTCTATGAAATAATGCCAATAGCAAATGTTTCCACAAGTAGTAATATTGAAAGCCTATAAAAAAAAAAAAAGTTTAAAAAAAAA